AGCAACGAGGCTGGATGAGGGGTCTGCAGTCCAGGCCCTCCCGGCCCAGGCAGCCCTGGCAGTGGTGTGGCCACCCGACCCTGACAGCACCCCTTGCTTGCAGGGCTCGTGGAGGAATGCCAGGGCAGCAGCTCTGTGAGCTACTTCTGGTACCGACAGACTCTCAACATCACAGCCAACATCAACGACAGCGGGACTGTGCAGTGGCGGCTACTCATTTGCTTGGCCACCTGCTGGGTGATCGTGTACCTGTGTGTCATCAGGGGCATTGAGTCTTCAGGAAAGGTGAGCACCTTGGCTCCCCCAGCTCGCTGGGACTCCTGCTCACCTGCCCCCTGAGCTTCCAAAGCGAAGGCCCCGTGGGGGTCCGCAGGCTTCTTCCTGTCCTACCCTCTACTGCCCAGGCCCCTGCCTCTTCCTCTGCAGGCTCAGTCTGCACCCAGCTCGTTATGGAACATGCAGCACAGGCCTTCCTTCTGAGGGATGGTTCTCAGATGGAGGCTCTGAGACTGGGGAAGTGAGTCCTGGGCAGAGTCCTCATGGGCCTGGTGGATGGATATTTGCAGCATCCCACAGGCAGGCCCTCTCCTCCTGGGTACCCTGTCCTCTCTCCCGACCATCCCACAGGTGCCCTTGTTTCTCGGGCCCTGGTTTTTCTCTGGGCTGCGTGTGGGCCCTGACTGGGCTGGTCAACATGCACATCAGTGGACCCACAAAGGCAGAAATTCATAAATGAGTTGACAGCCCATGGGAACCTCTTTGGGGTAATTAGGCCATGCGATTAATTCATGTACAGATGTTGTGCTGAGGCCCCAGCCTCTGAAAGCTTGCCCTGCTCCAACACCCCACAGTGGCAGTCACAAAATGCCCTGGGGTGCCATCTGGATCAGAACCTTGATGGGTCACAGTGAGCACACCCAAAGAGGGGCTCCTGACACTCCCGCTGTCTCTAGCAGGTTTCATTTTTCATGTGACAAACATCGGTTTTGATTTTTGTTTTTTGTTTTTTGCAGTGTTCCCTCCATTCCCACCCCTGATAACAAACAAACAAAGTTTATTCAATATATAAACTTTCCTTGACTTTTTACAATAAAGAACTAATACAATATTTGGCCTATTGTGATTGACTTACTTCACTCAGCATAATGTCCTCCAAGTTCATCCACATTATGCAGTGTCTTACAGATTCTATGTTATTCTTTAGGCTTGCATAGTATTCCATTGTGGGTATGTACCATAGTTTGGTTATCTATTCTTCAGTTGATGGACACCTAGGTTGTTTCCATCTTTTTGCTATTGTAAATAGTGCTGCAATGAACGTGGGTGTGCACATATCTGTTTTTGTCCTGGCTCTCACTTCTTTAGGATATATACCTAGTAATGGAATGCCTGGATCAAATGGTATTTCTAATTCCAACTTTTTAAGGAATCACCATACTACTTTCCATAGCTGTTGTACCATTTTACAGTCCCACCAGCAGTGTGTGAGAGTCCCAATCTCTCCACATCCTCACTAGCATTTATTATTTTCTGTCTTGTTGGACTTTGCTACTAGTGCTGGGGCAAGATGGTATCTCATTATTTTGATTTGCACCTCTCTAATGGCTAATGATTGTGAGCATTTCTTCATATGTTTGATGGCTGCCTGAATATCCACTTTGGTGAAGTGTCTATTCATGTCTTCTGCCTATTTTTTAATTGGATTATTTGTCTTTTTGTTGTTGAGATGTTGAAGTTTTCTATAAATTTTAGAGATAAGTCCCTTGTCAGATATGTCATTGCCAAATATTGTTTCCCAGTCTGTAGGTTCTCTTTTTATCTTTCGAAGAAGTCTTTTGAGGCACATAAAAATTTGATTTTTAGGAGGTCCCATTCATCTAGTTTCTCTTCTGCTGTTTGTGCATTTTGGAGTATGCTTGATAGTCATTTTTGCCATAAATTAGGGCCCCAAAATTTGCCCCTATTTTTTCCCTGAGAAACATTATAGTTTTAGATTTCACATTTAAGTCTTTGATCCATCTGGAGTTAGTTTTTGTGTATAGTGTGAGGTATGGATCTTGTTTCATTTTTCTGCAAACGGATAGCCAGTTTTGCCAGCACCATTTTTTAAAGAGACCACCTCTTCCCATGTAATGGATTTCAGCCTTTCATCAAAAATCAGCTACACTTAGGTCAATGAGCCTATTTCTGGGTTCTCAATTCTGTTCCACTGGTCTGTGCATCTGTGGTTGTACCAATACCAGGCTATTTTGACTATGGTGGCTGTATAGTAGTAGGTTTTGAGATCTGGGAGTATGAGACTTCCTACTTTGTTCTTTTTCTTCAACGGTGCTTTGGTTATCCAAGGTCTCTTCCCTTTCCATATAAAGTTAGTAATTGCTTTTTCCATATCATTAAAGAATCTTGATGGGATGTACAGATTGCTTTGGGTAGAACTGACACTTTTACAATGTTCAATCTTCCTATCCATGAGCATGGCATGTTCTTCCATTTATGTGGGTCTCTTATAGTTTCTTAAAGTAGTCTTTGGTAGTTTTCTTTGGGCAGGTTTTTTGTGTCCCCCTCGGAAGGAAGGTTGGGTAATCCTACTTCCGTAGTGATACTGCCTCGGAAACCCAAGGAGGGGTCGCTATGAGTCCGGGCCGACTCGACGGCACATAACAATAACAACAACAGTGGGATTTATTTCCAAATATTTTATTTTTTTGGTAGCTATTGTAAATGGTAGTGATTTCCTTATTTCCTTTTCAACAATTTCTTTGCCAGTGTAGAGGAATCCAACTGATTTTTGTATGTTGATCTTGTATCCCACCACTATGCTAAGTCTCTCAATTAGTTCCAGTAGGTTTTTTTTTTCTTTTTGCTGAGTCTCTTGAGCTTTCTATGGATAGGATCATATCATCAGCAAGTAAGGATAGTTTTACTATTTGCTTACCAATCTAGAGGTCTTTGATTTTCCTTTCTTGCCTTATTGCCCTGGCTAGGACTTCCAATGCAATGTTGAATAGAAGTAGTGATACAGGGCATCTTTATCTGGTTCCTGTTCACAGAGGGAATGGTTTCAGTCTCTCTTTATTGAGAATAATGTTGACTGTTGCTTTTGCATGTTGTTGTTGTTGTTATGTGCCGTCGAGTCGGCCCCAACTCATAGCGACCCCTCCTTGGGTTTCCGAGGCAGTATCACTACAGAACTAGGATTGCCCAACCTTCCTTCCGAGGAGTGGCTGGTGGGTTTGAACCGCCAGCCTTCTGGTTAGCAGTCAAGTGCTTTAGCCACTATGCTACCAGAGCTCCCTTTATTATGTTGAGGAATGTCCCTTCTATTGTTATTTTTCTGAGAGTATTTATCAGGAATGGGTGTTGGATTTTATCAAATGCCTTTTCTGTATTGATTGATATGATCATTGTGGTAGTTCAGTTTGTGTGTCAACTTGGCTAGGCAAGGTTGAGTGGCTGGGCAGCTGGATGTAGTATTCCCCGTGATGAGACTGGTAATCCACTCCATGGTGGAATCTACGTGAGCAGCTGAGTAGCTGCCTTGGGAATGTGTTCTGCTTCCTGTATATAAGCAGAAGCCTTGGGGAATAGTCTCTATCTCTCTCTATGGCACACTTGGACACTGCATGTAGCCGTGTCATTGTTCAGCAGCCTGCCATGCTCTGCAGACCTTGGGACTTAAAATGAACTTAAATTAATGGTCTGCCGTGAGGTCTGGTAACATTGGGACTGTGCCATTTTATTTGTCACCGTTGGGCTTCTCAGCCTCAGCAGCCAGCAGCTGTCTGAATGAAGAAATGCCTCAAGCTTCAGTGGGCCGGGAGCTGGAGGCAGAGCTGAAGCCCAAGGCTGAGGGGCTTTCACCTAGCCCTTAGAGCCTGGCACTTTGAACTTGGCCTTAAAGCCTCCAAACTGTAGGAGAATAAACTCCTGTTGTTCAAGCCATCCCATTTGTAGTATATTCTTGTCAGAGTGGCACTAGGTAACCAGAACAATCATATGGTTCTTTTCCTTTGTTTTATTTATGTGATAGATGACATTGATTGTTTTCCTAATGTTGAACCATCGCTGCATATACAAACCCCACTTGGTCATAATGTATTACATTTTGATATGTTGTTGGAATCTATTGGCTGAGATTTTGTTGAAGACTTTTGCATCTATATTCATGAGGGATATTGGACTGTAGTTTTCCTTTTTAGTGTTGTCTTTGCCTGGTTTTGGTATCAAGGTTATGCTTGCTTCATAAAATGAATTTGGGAGGATTCCATCCATTTCTATGTTCTGGAATAGTTTGAGTAGGATTGGTGTCAGTTCTTCTCTGAATGTTTGATAGAATTCTCCAATGAAACTGTCTAGGCCAGGGCTTTTTTGTTGTTGTTGGTAATTTTTTTTATGACTTGTTCAATATCTTCTTTTATTATGGGTCTGTTCAACTTTTCCACCTCAGACTGTGTTAGTTTAGGTACATAGTATGTTCCTAGAAATTTTTGCATTTCTTCTAGATTTTCAAATCTGTTGGAGTATAGTTCTTCATAGTATATCCTGATAAACCAAAAACCAAACTCACTGCCATTGAGTCTATTTGACTCATAGCCACCCCTCTTTGGGTTTCCAAGGCAGTATCACTACAGAAATAGATTGCCCAATCTTCCTTCCAAGGAGTGGCTGGTGGGTTTGAACCACCAACCTTCTGGATAGCAGTCAAATGCCATCAGAGCTCCAAGTATCCTGATATTATCCTTTTAATTTCTGTTGGTTCTGTTGTGACATCATCCAATTTGTTTCTTATTCATGTTATTTGTATTCTCTCCCTCTTTTCTTTTGTTAAATTGCCAGTGATTTGTCAAGTCTATTAATCTTTTCAAAAAACTAATTTCTAGTCTTGTTGATTTTTTTCTATCATCTTTCTCTTTTCTGTTTCATTTATTTCTGCTTGAATCTTTATTATTTCTTTTCTTCTGGTGACTGCAGGCTTTTTTTTGCTGCTCTTTTTCTAATTGTTGGGGATGTTGGGTTAAGGTGTTGATTTTGGCTTTTTCTTCATTTTTGATGTGTGCATTTATTGTTATAAATTGCCCTGTGATCACTGCTTTGGCTGTGTCCCAAAGATTTTGCTATGTTGTGTTTTTGTTCTCATTTGATTCAAGGAATTTTTTATTTTCATTTTTTGTTTCTTCTTTTATCTAGTCATTTTCAAGGAGGGTGTTATTTGGTGTCAATGTGCCTTCTATTTTTCCTTTGGTCTTCCCATTGGTGATTTCTAATTTTATAGCATTGTGATCTGA